TATAAAAATTTATTTTTTTTGTTTTTGTTATACAAATTTGCAAATCAAAATAATACTATGGTGTTAAACACCATAGGCGCATTTTATAATATTTGTTAATATTAATGATACTTAACTTTTATGATACTAACGTTAGCGAGGAAATCTTATCGTGCAATATAATATGCGTCAACGTGTAACTATCCGCCACCTTTCATGTAACATCCACCACCTATGTAACAATGCTCACATAATCATTGTATAAAATAATGCTTACTTGACTGCTGTATAACATAATTCGCATGCAATATTCGTGTAACAATATTCATTTGTCTTTTTTATAGATCTAAGGGCCTTTTTTTATGAATCAAAAAAACGGACCCCGTGAATCAAAAAGGATTAGTTTGCATACCCGTGTACAAACACAACACATGTGCTTATTTAGAAATTTTCTTTTTTTATTATACGTACGCGGACTTCGGGCAATAAAAAATAAAAAACATATATATATATATATCAAATATAAAATTCTACATTGTTCATGACATCTGAGTTCCAAAAAATTAACTCAAATAGTTTTACGAATATTCTAAAAAATTTGAACTAAATTAATGTAATTTCACTAGATATTTTAAATAATTACGAGTTGAACCTTTCTAGTATTCAGTTTTAATTAACAAAATTTAAGCAAATATGGATGGTAATACCAGTACTAGTGGATATAAAGTAATCTTAGGAATTTTACTCGGTGCAGGGTATAATATTAACAGCATTATGGGGGCAGGTTGTATTTTAAATTGTTATTTAATAAAAGTTTTCAAATTAATAATTTGATATTATTTCACAGGGATTTTTAATCCTGATAGTATTTGGTTATTGGTTCAGTCGGCAGGAATTGCTTTGATTCTTTATGTTGTTTGTGGCATTATTAGCCTTCTAGGTAGTTTGATCTACATTGAGGTAAAAAATCTAGTAATAACTTTTACTTACGATTTGAGATTATAAATTATCCGATCTTATTGATTTTATTCATTGTAGCTAGGAATTAGATCACTGCCTAAAGGAATGGGTGAACAAACATATATCAACGATGCGTTTCCTAACCAAATAAATTTAGGACATGTATTTAGCTTCGTTATGATTACGTGTGTAAATTTAAAATTCGTTCTTATTATTTACATACTACAGTAGCATACAATAACCTATTTTAATTTCTTGTAAAAAGTGTAATTTTGCCCGGAGAAATAATAGCTGATTCTTATGTGTCCGCCAAGTACTTTCTCTACTTTTTTCGAGGAAATGTTGACAACTTTAACAAAGACTACCTGTAAGCAAATTTTTTTTTTTAATGATTTTATTTTATTTCTACAATAATATAAACATGTAATTTGAATTCGTAGTGTTATGGCTGTGTCACTTGCTATTTTAGGATTTATCACGATGTATCACGTTCTCTCTGACAGAGTCGCACATACAATAAATTTAGGTGTAACCTTAATCAAAATCATCGCTTTGGTTATTATTTCTATAATTGGATTAGTAAAATTAGAAACCAATTCTATTATCTGGAGTGGTATTTTTGATTCACGACCACAGAGTCCCGGAGCATATTTCAATGGCATATTAAAAGTTTTATTTACTTATGAAGGTGGGTGCGTTAATAAAATCGTAGGCATAGAATTGTTTAAAAATAAATAAACTATTATTAATTTATATTTCATTATAATACTTAATCAGGATGGAACATTATAAATTGTAAGAAAACTCTGTAAAACTAGTGATGGGAAATTACGCATGATCATTTTATTCACGTTTGTAATTCGATCAAACCGGCCTGCATTAACATAATGTAGCCAAAAATTTCATGCGTATGAAATTTAAAAAAAAAACACTAATTTGCTCATCACTAGTTAACAATTATGTTAGATTAAATATGATTTAAAAAATATAATTACCTTTATAGATTTTATTGGAGAATTAAGTGATCCTAAAGAAAAAAAATTGATATACTCTTCACTTATTAGCGTTGGTGTTTCTTTTTTACTTTGTAAGGGTTCGATTTTATTATATTCATTTAAATTATTTCGCCTAAAATATGACTAATTATATTTCTATTGTTTAGATTTTTTCACTACAGCTGCTTTTATAACAGTTGTTGGATATGATATTTCTAATAATGTGAGCATTCCAATTGCTCTACGTTTTGGTAATAAACTGTTTGGTGAAACTGGTGAACAGCTTATGGCAGGGCTTATTGTAATCTCTGCTTTTGGAAGTGTAGCGACAACTGTTTTCGTGTAAGATAACAAAATTACTATGTATAAATAGATATAGTTAATTATGCTGAACTTATAATCTCTTATATTCTTATAGCTACGGACGAATTATAAAATACGCTGCAAGTACCAGATTTATACCCTGGAGACCCGATTTATTTAATATTTATGACAAGACATTTAATACACCAACTAATGCATTATTGGCACAATTTATTTACTGTCTAGTTTTGACCATTATTTTTTCGTTAATAGGAGGAAATGATCCTTTTGACTTTTTCTCTTCCTCATCACAATATTTGGCCATGATGTTCCACGGCGCTAGTGCAATTAGTCTTCTTGTAAGTTAAATTGACTACTTTACTTTTTATTATAATTTAATTTACTAAATGAATTTATCTATATTTAATTTAATTTACTAAAAGAATTCATATATTTTATTAGATTTTAAAGTACAAAGTGCGATTTGATGGGTTTACGATATATAAACATATTGTTGGAATTTACCTTTTAATCATAGTTTTGATTATCATTTTATCACTTTTTCCACCTGAACCTGAATATCACAACTTTAATTACTTAATTCCGTATGCTATTTCTTGGGGTGCGGCACTGCTAGGAGTGATTATTTGGCGTTTTCGTAAACCAAGAGAAGGACTTAATGATACAACGGAGCAAAATTCTGGTTTGCTTATTATTATTTATATTATCGTCGATTAGTATATTTATTTAATATTAACTAATACTTCTGTTTCTAGAATCCGAATATATGGAAGGATTTAAAGAATCAATAATTATTAATTGAAATTAGATTTTAAGTTAGAGATGTGCTTTATTATGCTTATCATGTCATTCTATAAATAATGCTGTAATGAAATCTCTTTAAAATTTAAAAAATGCATATAGAAATTATTATTACTTAATCTATAGGTTATTCCGGACAAATTTGCATGGAAAATTCGTGTAACAATATCTATGATTAGTGATGCAGGTAAATTCGTCCCAATTAATTTTGCATTGTGCCATAATTAAAATTAGCTCCACAACTTTATTCTAATGCCGTAACTTGCCGTAATTATAATGTTGTAACTTGTTTGCTTCAGTGATGGTAAATGACTTGAAATGACCCAAATGACTCAAATGACAAATGACCAGTCATTAGTCATTTCAAAACTCAAATGACCTTAGAAGGTCATTTAACTTTTGTTAACTGATAATCTAATGTCTTTTGGCCAATCAAAATTGATTATTATACAAAATTTAATTTTAGAAAATATGATTTATAATCGTAGCTGCATATAAAAATCAAAATTTTACTAAGTTAATCGATATTTATGTATTAAGAAAGTTGTTTAGAGGAATAAATTGCATATATCTTGAGGATTTCAAGTAATTTCAATAACTTTTTATTAAGTCTTCTTTACGTTTTATGTTTGTATAAAAAAATTTAAAATTTTTTCATACAAACGTAAAACATAAAGAAGACTTAATAAAAAGTTATTGGAATTACTTGAAATCTTCAAGATATATGTAATTTATTCTTCCGAACAACTTTGCTTAATACATAAATATCGATTAAATTAATAAAATTTTGACTTTTATATGTAGCTACGATTATCAATTAGTGAAATAATAGTGTTTGATAATTTTTATATTAGCTTCTGACCAATAAAATTACTTTATATGTAAATGACCCAAATGATCTAATGACCTAGTCATAATTTGATGACTCGAGGTCATTTGAGCAAATGATCTAGTCATTTACCATCACTGGTTTGCTTAATAAATGTCATAATTTTATTGCTTCTAATTAATAAAATGTCATAACCTGCCTATTATTAACTTTGTAAAGTATATAAAAAAAATTTTTTTTTGTTTGTTTTAAAAATTTTAATAAAATTTCAACATATCAATAATGGAATCATTTACTAGTAATGATATTAACAACCAAGAGCAACACTTTTCATTTGAATTAGATCAAAATTATATGACAGGGTGAAATCTATGATAATTTTAAGTAAAACCTGTGATAGATATGTAAAACCTGCAATAGATATATAAAACCTATAATAGGTAAAACTTGAGGTAGATATATAAAACCTACAATAGTTATGAAAAACTTACAATGACTATGTAAAACTGCAATAAAATTAAAAATTTTAAAAATTTATATATATCTCAAAAACTAGTGCTAACAATAACTAATACACTAAATAAATAATGAAGGAAAAGTTACTTAATTTAAACTAATACTACTTTATTGAACCTTCAACACTTCTAATACCATATTTTTCTATATAATAAATACAAGATATTCTATTAAATATATATACTTAAATACTATATTTTTGTTTTATTCTAAGATTTATAAATTAGATTTTATTATATCATTTAGACTAACAATAGTTTAGTCATTTTTCATAACCTCATATTATTCTAAACTATTTCTACTAGTTTATTTAATGTTTTATTTTATTTTTATTTGTTAATTTTATTTATTTATTTATTTATTTTTAGAACTATTGATAAATTAGTTATAAGTACACTAGTTAAATGAAGCTATACCATATATATACTGGGTTACTGATATGTCTCCAAATATAGTATGTTAGATAAACAGGAAGTTACTAGATTTTTAATTATATAATTTTCTAATTTGTCATCTATTTTAAACAGAAATTTGGCTTGAATAGGAGACTTTTCAGACATATTTTAAATACAGATAATTATCTTATCGAAATAACCGATAGCCTTATAAATTAAATAATTAAGATATAAAATATTCTATAGTATAAAATAAATCAGATACTTATCATATATTTTTAATTTGCCTATCAGTATAATCAAATAGTTTTGAAAAATTGAAATAGCTATCAGAATAATCAATATAGTTATTAATAATTGTAATACTGATATATTTATTATAACATTAATAATAAAATTTTTAATAATATATAGCAGTAAATAATATTTATTATTTGTTTATTTGTTTATACATATTGTCATGCCTATAATTTTCTATTTCTTTATTTTTTCTTTTATTTTATTTTTAGTTTTATTATTTGATTTAGTATTTTTATAGTATATTTGTTATAGTTTTTATTTAT